TTAGTTCCACTCATTCAAACATTAGCAGCTAGGACATGTCATGCCACCTACACATTGTCAAATCATCTTTATTCCCTTCATATTCCATAAGTAAGAAAGAAGTTCCAATCACACAACTTTTCAAGAACTGCTACTTTGTGAAACAGACTTCCAAGAGGATGCTTCCCTGATCACTACTATCTTAGCCACTTTAAGTTTATCTATCCTACATATCCTCATAATCTGCATTTACTTCCTCCTCTTATGTCTATACAATGCCATTTTGTAGTTTTCTACCTTCTTGACTGGCTCTTGGGACTTGTGTATGTTCACAGTAAATTGCATGTTTTTTTATATTCTCCAAATTTCAGATAGTCTGTATTTTTGATGGTGGAGTATTGTAGGGTTTTAGATAGAACACTTCATCTAGCAAGCTGATAAATGAGGTGCGTTAACGATCTTGGCACAGTAGGGACAACCAAAATGGATTAAGGTCCTTGCCAAAATTAGATACCAGTCCAGTCCAGAGAAGAGGTTAGAGCAACATGTGCTACAACCAACGTCCAGACTCACACCATAGGGAACAAAGGTATTCATAGATGGTGGTTTATCACCTCACGTCTCCTCAACTTAGCTCAAAGATGATAATCTTGTAGAATGTAAACCTTAATAACTATAAGTACCATATTTATGTCATGTTATATCATTGTTGTATTTAATAAAAATGGTAAATGTATTTTGGCATCATTCTTTTCATTTCCTCTTTTAGTATCTTGTATTTATTTTTGATTTGGAGCTTGACCTTGAGATTATAAAATAACAACCCAACAGGTGAATATTTATAAAAAAAAAATTGGAAAATATTATCTAGTGATACATTATTTCATGCCTTCATGCCTTTTTTTATCTGTTGATGTAATACAGCAAGCGTTTTAGGTGGGATAACTGAATAAATCAGACATTATCTCCTCATGTTCCATACATATACAAGGAAAACACTTCAGGTAATAGTGTTGGTTAGGGAAACAGCAAAACATTTTGCAAAACATGTGGTTTAGTAGCACAAGTGTTGTGTGAGTGGCCATTATGCTGCTGGAGCAATATATAACTTTCCTCTTGTAGGAATTGCAGCAGAACAGGTAAAACAATGTTCTCTACATACACAGTGTTTTTTAGCACTCCATCTACAAACACCAAAGGTGAACAAAAATTACAAATTATGGCACACCTGTTGCAGATACGATGATGCCAGGAGATATATGTGTATCTTGAGTGTATACATTCTAAAAAATAAAACTTAACAGGTTTACATCATATGCTCTTATCACTAAACACTACAGAGTAACATTTGATCCCCTAGGGGCCCTCATACAATGCCACTGGAAATGTCTATGTATAAACTGAAGTCTTGCTAGAATTACAACTGCCTATAATTTAGCTATAACTAAATGACTAATAGCACAAATTTTAGAATATTTTTTTCTAAAATTGGAATAGAAATAAACCAGTGATAATAATTATTTCTTTTCTTTTGTTTAATTCATTTGATTATGTTCTACCAGTTCTAATCTTCACAACTAAGACCTTCCATGTCACACACATTGTAGTGAACTGCCATCTTTTCCTTCATATTACCTTGATGTAAATTCTACTCAGAGAGCTTCTTCCTACAAACTGGTACTTTGTGGAACCGACTCCCAAGAAGATGCTTCCCTACAATCTTAACCTATTCATCTAGGATTAACCATTATCTTCCTCACATATCCTTATAAACTGTACCCCTTACCTCTTACACTGTAAACCTCTACCTTGAGTGGCTCTTGGTACAGGGTGAACATTATTGTAATTTCATGCTATTAACATAGTGATGAGGAGTAGGTAGAAGATGTAAAAGTTTAATTTGAGAATTATTACGTATTAATGATATCAATTTTTAAAAGCTATCAAAATAACAATGCATGCTTAATAAGAATGTTATGACTACAATTTTAGTTGCAGTTTTGATACATTTTGTTGTGCTTTATATTGTCTCTGGATTCAATTCTTCAGACCTATATTATAGATTGTATCAACAGGGAACAATTTTCTTTTCTTATCTTGCTTTATTTTATGAGCGACAGTAATTGTAGCATCATTTCCAGAAGGAAGCAAGAAGGGTTGGGAGATGATTGAAAGAATGCAGGTTAACTGGTTGGCTAAAATTTAATTGCAATATGCTAGCTTGCCTCACCAAGGAATCTAGGTGTGGTAGTTATCTTGACACTTCTAATTCTTGCAACTGTTTGAGTGTCTTGTGCTTTTTTGGTCTTATATATCAAAACTTGAGCAAAGGTAATCCATCACTGTGAGAATTTCATGTCCAATAGGTCCAACCCAGTCCAAGTCATCAGTTATGACCAGTAGTTTACTATTCTGAGTCAGCCTACACATTCTGTAACACAATAATGTGTAAAAAGTGATATATATTTGCAATATGTTTTATAATTGCTTATATTTCATATATTTACTGCTAATTGATGGTGACCAATTAACTAAAATATGTGGTAATTGATAGCCACATTAATGGTTCTAATGCTTCCTACCAACAGAAATGCAGAATAATAAAAAGGATGGCAGATATATTGTGGGTTAAGGAAGGTTACAGAAAGGTTACAGCATGGATGACACCTAAGCTTTACTCCCAGTTTATTTAGAAGAACCAATACAAAGAAAAAATGTTAGATATCATGAGGTTTTTATTAATAAAAGCTTCAAATTCCAAACATCAGCAATTTCAGAAAAGGTTATGTACTTTTTGTAAGTACATTTTTATCCCAAATTTGATCCAGATATGGTGATGTGCAAATGGTGTAATGGATTAGTCCATCCATTATGTGCCATGCGTGATACACATGTAGGCGATCATGTATCTTTCGATACATGACTGACAAGGTAGATTTTTTGTCGCAGTAGGTTACAATTTCTTTCTGCCATCCAAGGCTGTAGAACCCAGTCTGTCCTGCTATTTACCCATAGCTGGAGGGAGAAGAGGATTCATACCTTTCCCAAGGGTATTAGCACGTAAGTGAATGTAATGGATTCGACTGGAATTTGAACTTGGATTTCCAGTTCCTCAATCCGAGCCACTATCCATTACTCCACCATGCCTCCTTGTGGCTTGGAATGAGAAATTAGAGAGCTGAGTTTGGATTCCATTTGAATTCATTACATCTATTTATGTGCAAATACCCTTGAGAAAGGTATGAATTCATTTTTCTCCCTCCAGCTATGGGTTAAGTAGTAGGACTTGTAACTGAAAAAAATCATGTTATTTCCAAAAAATTATTAATGCAATATTTGATCACAAAAAGTTATTATTCTTCCATTACAAAAAGTAGATACTGCAACTTTAAAGAACCCATAAGTTTTGATAAGCTGTAAAAAAATATGAATAAATCAATCACAATGATGTGAAAAAACTTATAAATTGTAAATATACAATAAAAAATGAAACAGGAAGAATTTGTCATTTGAATTTAATAAAATGTTGATTTAATTTTTATTTTTATTGCTCACATATACAATGAAATTGTGCCTGTCTATATACACAGTCTGTTTTTTTTTTAAGTTCTTTATTTGGTAATTTTCAAGTCTATTAGACAAAGAACTTTTGTTGGCTTTCAACCTGAAAAATTTCTACTCATTATAAAAGTTAGCAGATACAGGCTTTGAGAGACCCAAACAAAAGGTGATTTTTTTTTAAATAGGGTAATTGAACTTAAATTGCCTTGACTGCGAAAAACTTCCATGGCTGAGTGGTCTAGATAATTTACACAGCCTATATACTTGAAATCTAATTCTTGTTTTTGGTTTCATAAGAAGTAATTTATAAAATGTCCCAAAATAATAACTAAAAATACTGGTCACTACACTAAGGGTACCTTAACTTTTTCACTAACTTATTTAATTTTAAAAATGCTCATCTTTGAAAATGTGCTTGCCAGATAACATTTTTTCCTAAGTAAGCATAAAAAATGAAAGCTGCCAATTTTTTGTCAGATTTTTAATTTAACAAGTTATTTTATTTATTTTAATCTAACTTTGTCCTTTACTTTCCCGTATGGAGACTGGCTTGCGCTTGCTCGACTATTTTTTTCTAACTTAACCACTTTTATTCCAAACCTTCTGTTTAAAAGTTCATGTTTTCAATTTTTTCAATCTATGTTCGTTCAGTCCAACCTCTTAGTCTTTAATTCCGAAAAAGAAAAATGAATTTTCTAACCTAGGAACTTAAGAAGAGCAATTGAGTAGAATGTTGCTTGAGGACCTGGAGTTCTCTAAGGGAGTTTTTTTTTTTTTTTTTGTCGTTTTGAGGTTTTTTGCCACATGAGTTTTTTTTGGCGGAGTGGGGGATCCCGTCGCTTCTTGATTAAATTAATTATTTCATATTGAATTTTTATGAAATAATTTAAAAATCATATAAAAAAAATAAACGGCGACAATTATGGAAAACGAACTGTGGAAAAATAAATTCATCTCTAAACGTACGCACCATAATGTTTTGATAAAATAGGCAATGTGAAAGAATTGACGACACCGATGGAAACGCTCAGACATAAATTAATATTTATTAGCTTGCATCTCTTTAAATATTCAAAATGGCTGACAAAACAAATAATATTTAATTGCCTTTATTATCAACACTACGATACATAATAATTTTAGTTTAAATAATCCATGTCATTAATTGATAAATTTTATTGAGTACTTATGTTTAAATCACTGATGTTTTTTCATCGATCAATCGATCATTGTGATTACTTATGACAATTGTAATGTGACAGTTATGTGCCCTTGTTTTCTCCGGAACTTGTACCCCTTTCCTGTGTAATCCCATCGCTTCTCAAATTATTTAGACATTCCCGTGTTTTTAGGAAAGCATAAGGTAATATAGATAAAGCTTGTGACATTTTTCAGTATCCAAGTATTTATGGGTTGCTTTTTTTGATTGATAACTGTTTTATAAACCTCTGACCCCCAAAATGACATCGGACCCTAGAAAAGGGTCAACTCACGGGGAGACTGAATCTTTTTTGGAAATTTTACTCTCAAGTAACATTAGACCCCATCACGAATTGTCAGTAGGAGATGCACGAACTCAATTTGATAGATTAGTGTTGCAAGAATTAGAAAGAGTCAATATCGATTTTGAGGGAATTACTAAAGAACTGACTGTCCCTTCAGTAGATACAAAAGGTATGCATCAATTTATTTATCATCACATTTATTACCTGTGTATCGTGTTACTGTTATGTTATCAATTTTTGTCCCTCCCTAATTTTTAATTTAATTTTATTTTGTCTGCAAAAGTTTTGTTCTGTGTTTCTTTTTTTTTCTTCTTCTTCAAATAGTAGTTACAAATTATCTGAATTTAGGCTATCTAATTTTTATTTATTTAATAATTTGCTGACTATACAAAAAAAAATCTACCAAAAAGTAAGTTACTAACTACTACCAATAGTGACAAATTAACACGCAATGACAATGTTGGCAACTTTTCTCGACCAATGTTGTGTTTTAAGGAACCGGCTTTTTTTTGTCTTTCATGACTAAAAAAAATTATGCCATTATATTTTAATTTCTTTTAGCAATTTACTATTTACTTTCTTCCTCACCTCTTCATCTTACTACGCTATTTTTTTCACAATACTCAAGTTAATCTTGAAATTACACTGTATGAATGATTTTTTTTTTAATTATTTCATGGATTATTTGAATTGAACTAATATACTTTTTTTGTTATGTTTTTTTGGCCAATGTATTCTACAGCATCTTCTTTGATTCTTACTTAAACATTCACTGCCACATAATGCGGCATGTGTGTCCATTCCATAGTTTGTTTTTTTTTCGTTTTTATTTTTAATTAATTTCTCTTTCTTACAGAAATTGTCCGGTTTTTTTTGTTGTTGTTGGTAATTTCCTTGTATTAAAATACAATTAAAACTAAAAAAAAGTGTATAATTCAGTTTTATGTCAAAAAAATATGGATTCGGATAAATTTGTGCATAAAATTGGGTTTTGAATATAACATTTTTATTCCGTTCATCCTAGCCACTTCTTCGAGCACAGCGAATTTACAAGAACAATATTCTTTGCATTTGGTAACTTAGTCATCATGCGAGTAAGTATTAACTTTGTTGATGATGTAAGCAATTCTAATATCAAACGCTTTAATTAACAACAAAAGATTGCTATAATTAACAACTAAAATACAAAGCAACTATTACCCAATAATTATTTTTTATTCACAGTACTAAATAATTAGTTGAAAAATGTCATAACTTAAGTCTGGCTAGGAAAAAGGGAATTTATTTCGCAGAAATGGTTTTAAATTAACTTTTAATTAAAATAAGTATTATCATTTGAATAAACTAATAAGCATTTTTCATCGTCGGTTTTCTAAGACAAGAAATAACAGGACTAACCACATAAACACCAATACAGTGCACACAGTAAACAGTTTCATAAAGGGGGTGTGGCTGAATGAATCCAATTCCAAAGTATTTGTTGCTACTAGAGTAGTTTTCAGTTGCACAACCAACCACTGGTTATGAGATGCTTGCTTTCTAACGAGAAAGAGTTTGACATAAAACTGCATTTTTACATCATTCCGTGTAGATGTGGGGATAGTTTAATTAAGAAGATTGAAGAATTTGTTTCTAAAGTTAAGCTGGAAAAACATAGAAAAGCTATAAAGTGGGGGAAAAAGAGAAAAAAAAAACACTCTAGTTAGGCAGAACATATCTGGTGGGAGAAGATTTTTGTCTCTCTGGCGGGACCGTTTGAATAATAATAAAGTTTAAAAAAAGCCAACAAAAGAGTTAAAAAAAACTAAAACAATCAGTAAAAAACAATATCACCTTGTCAGCGAAATGGGCGTGGTGGTGGTTAGCGAGCTAGTCTGGTTGAAAAATACTGAGTTCGCTACGCACAGTCGCCACGCTTAATTGTAACTTTTTGCTGAGATTTAATAAATAAGGTAGTGATTAGAGAGCTGCTGTGGTTGACCATAACTGAGTAATAATAATATTGATTTCGATCCTTATTGGGTGCCCCATACATGTGGCCTTGTGCCAAACTATTCTAAGCTTAGTAAATTAAATAACAATAGGCATAGGTCTATGGTTAGCTAAGCTAGTCTGTTTAACCATTAGTATTAAGTTGTGAGTTTGATTGTCATTGGATACCTTATACTTGTGGCCTTGTGCCAAACTATACTAAACAACAATATAGCTTGCGTTTAATTCCTAGGCATGGAACCATGGTTAGCTGAGCTAGTCTAGTTAACCATTACTACAAATTATCCTCACCTGGTGCCCCTATACTTGTGGCCTTGTGCCAAACTATGCTAAGCTTCATAAAAAAACAATATGTGGGACCATGTTTAGCTAAGCTAGTTGGGTTAACCACTAATACCGATGATCCTAACTGCATACTTATTTGCCCTGTGCCAAACTACGCTAAGCTAGTCTGCCTAACATTATCACTGATAATCATCGCTGAGTGCCTCATAATTGTGGCCTTGTGCCAAACTACACTAAGCTAGTCTGCTTAACATTATCACTGATAATCCTCACTGGGTGCCTCATAATTGTGGCCTTGTGCCAAACTACATTAAGCTTAGTAAACAACAATATGCTTGTGTGTGATGCCTAGGCATGGGACCATGGTTAGCTAAGCTAGTTTGCTTAACCATTACTTACGAGTGGTGAGTTTGATCCTCACTGTGTTCCCCATCTTGTGACCTTGTGCCAAACTAAGCTAAGCTTAATAAATACCTATATGCTCATGTGATGCATTGGCATAAGATCATGTTTATTAAAGCTGGTCTGGTTGACTGTTACTACCAAGAACTGGGTTTGATTTTCATTGGGTGCTCAATAGTTATGGCCTTGTGCTAAACGAAGGTAATTTTATTACAACTTGTCAGTTAGATTTATGTCTAACTTGCTGTACTGTAGTTTTTGCCTATCACAAAATTATCTACTGTCATTATTTTAGTTATTTCTTTAATTAATTTCCCAAACTAAATACACAACTCTTTTTTTTTTTTTTTTTTTGCTTATTTTGTTGAAATATATTGTTAAAATTTTTTTTTTTTTTTTTTAAATTGTAGATGGCATACCAATCATTGTGTATATCCCTACAAAGCTTCCTGTCAGCCCACCAATTCTTGTCTATTTTCATGGTGGAGGGTTCACCATGGGATCATGTGTACATGTTGAGGATACTTGCAAAATCTTAGCAACGTAAGTAGACTATGTACATACAATATATTTCATAAAGAAATTCTATACTTGTAAAACCAAATCCTAAATAGCAAATATATGCTAGTCAGTATATTTAGGCATATACTGTCCCCTCCAAAATAAACACAGTTACATATATACTCTATTGTCAATGACCTGTAAGGGAAATACTTTAAATAAAATGTGATTATAAACACAAATAAAAGAATATTAAGAATCTACCAACATGAGGATTTATCATCATCATATGCCTTGATAATTCCTTATCTCAAAATTGTAAAAATCATATTCACCATCATGTTTGTGTATCATACTAAATTGAAAAATATAATGATTACATTAGATAGCATCTCTTTATTTAGATTGAAGAATCAAATAAAAATAAACTATATTAATTATTATTAATTAATAAGAAGTTTTATTTGTATTAAAGAAAAATATTTTTTCACCAATTATCTTTTGGGAATTTAACTTTAAATCAAATGAAACTCCCAAATGCTGATTAGAAAAGTGACTGCCTAAATTCATTTTGGATGTCATATAATTTATAAAATATATACTACAGTTGTCCTGTGTATTTTTTAGCTGTAATAAAATTTCCCAAAGTTTTGTGCTATATAAAAAGTCTATAAAATTTCTGTAGGCATTACAGATTAAATTATTGTAACAAGAAAAGTAAGCAAATTAATAACTAATTCAGATTAGTGCTATCTGTATTACTTTTGTACTAATATTATTAGGACAATGCATTTACTTTGTCCTAATATATATCATTTCAGTAAGGTTGTGTCACTAGCATGCCGTGCTGAGACAGAATGATAAGATGCTGAGTATATACAAGAATAATCTACTCTCTTCAAAATTAATAATAATGGCAAAAAAGCCACAATATTTATTATCACTTATAATATAAAGTAAGTATATGCTTTACTTCATAAAAATAGAGAGAAATACTTAAAGTAAATTTTACAATCACTATAATCCAAATGCACTGTTTTTTATTATAAAAGAAAGATATTGGTTATTAATTTTAGTAATCTACTAACTCTATTATGTTTTATTTACATTAATTTTAATATTCAAAGGAAAAGTATCTTTTACAAATTTCTCAAAAAGATTTATAGATAAAAACTGATACAAGTGTATATGTGTTATATAGTGAAAGATTCAGATCAAAATTCAGTTAATATCTATGTCAGTTTATAAATTTTCTGATTTAGTCTTCATGCATGTGTGTGTTTTTAAATGTGTAAGCTTATATGTATGCATATATATATATATATATATATATATATATACACACACATACAAAATATCAATTGATAATTAGTAGGGATAATTCCAAGGAGGGCATTAATCCAAAGAGAGCTTAATATAAGTAACAGAACAATATAACAATGAGTACAGATGATCCTTAAAAATCCATTCAGTTATAATTTATTTTATGAATATACAAATATTCAACTCTTCAGACTGAATTTTATATATTATTTTTTTTTCTTTTAAAGCAAAAATGTATGACAAATTGGAAAAAGTTTTCATGATGCGTTTCTTCTGACATTGGGCAAAATGTGTCACAAAAAACTTTTTACAATTTGTCATATATACAAATTATATATTGTGTATTTGGGCAGCAATCCCTCTTTTATACAAGTTTCATTAAAAATGACTGACAAGGTACTGTGGTTAAGTTTGTTTTTTGTTTTTTTTAATCTTTCTTGTGTCCTTATAATTTTCTTCTTTCCATCCACATGTAACAAAAAAGGGTAAAAATAATGGAAGCCCACAATGTGCTGTCCATGTTTGAAAAATAAAACATTCTGATAATTCTAGATAAAAATAATCTATACATTCAGTTAAAAGTAAAATTAAAATCATCCTTGATAATGACTAAAATTTTAGTCAAAGGTGCTCAGACATAAAAAAAAGAAACATTTGGACAATTTCTACATAAATCATGTTGAGAAAAGAAGAAAATTATAAGAACACAAGAAAAATTAAATCAAAAAACTTAACCACAATACCTTGTCAGTCATTTTTAATATATATATATATATATATATATATATATATATATATATATATATATTGAAAAATTAATGCGAAAGTGGAAAAAAATTTTCATTTGCATTTCATCCTTCATCAGACTCAATTGATGTTTTTGTTCATGTAATTGCACATGTAGGGTGGGAATACTGAAATACTAAACTTTTAAGATTAATTTTTTTTTTATTAAGCTGTGTTTGGATATACAGACAAACCTCTCATCAACAGAATAATAGGTGATGGGGTAGTCCATTAAAGCTGATTGTCCATAGATGGGAAGGGATTATTTTTGAGTTATAAAACTGCTATAGTAACTACCAGTAGTTATGATCATAATGTAAATACTATAAACATGTATATATGGCATAAATAAATATATACTTAATATAGATATATTAATCAAAACAACAAAAATAATAGATTTCTCACAGCTACTTCTCATGCATGTGCTAATGTATCATACTTTATGTACTGTACACCTGTCTTGGTTTACAATTGAAAAGCCTGCCACCGCCACCAAGTGGTTACTTTGAGAACTAATATGACTTGTTCCACTAAGCCCACAAATTTTGAAATATATCGCTGATGATTTGGAAGTTTTTTTTTTATTTTGCCTGCAGATTTTGTCAATTGCATTTGAAGTTCATTGATGAAGGGTCCGTAGATGAGAGGTGTGTCTGTATAGTCTGGCCAATTCCATTTTTTTTTTTTTTTTTTTTTTTTAATGTTTTTTTATCACTTTTGTTATTAAGTAGCTCACATTGTGATAATAGAAGATCTGCTAAGAAAGGTGAAATTTTGTAAGAAACTAGACATAGATTTACTGTAGATGGTCTAACAGTTAAAGCACTTTCTATACATATTCATCTTGGTAAATTGCTTTCTTTTTTAATTAGATTAGTGTTTTTAAATCAAAATTATGGTCAGACTCATTATGGTAAGCACTAATGCATTGAGTGTGTTTTGTAAAAGATTTCTTTTGTGTTCATATAAGATTTTATTTAAATTCCTTAAGGTGTTCTGGTATATAAAAACTTATATGCTCCTTTCTTACTAAACTAGTACTAAAATAATGTGGGGTACTTAAACTATATAAAAAAACTGAGTTGAAATTAGTAGTTTTTCCAAATTGTCTTAAATATTTAACATGTGCTCATTAATAATTATATTCAAATATCATAATACAAACTAAACTTGTATTAAAAATTATTTGCAACAATATTTTATGTTGATTTTTTTTTTTTGGGAACACAAATATGGACTCAATAAATTGTTCAATTAAAAATATAGACTTGAAATTATATTATTTTTTAAGTTTGAAAATGTTGAATTAAAAAGAATGTTTTAAAAAAAAATTATTTTTAGAATTTGTATGAAAAATGCTTTCCAGAACATTAGATTATAATAAATATATTGAAAATCTTATGAAGACGCAAAAGAATTGAAGTGTCCCATTGAAACTACTTTTGAAAATTGTCTTTTATTGTCATCAAAGCAGGAATGTAAAAAGTCATACTTAGGGTCATTACTATAAAATGATACAATTAAGGGATATATCATAATAAAAACAAAATTGTTTATTCTTTATTGAATAGTAATGATACAATTGACAGCATTTAGCAAAAATCAGAATGACATTATTGATTATTGAAGTTATTCTAATCACCAAAGACTGATTGTTCCTGAATTTTCTTGAATAACAGTCTTCTAATAAGTTATGTGTGCTTTGTTTCTTTACTTTTAATAACAATATTTCCAGGGGTGCGGAGTGTTGTGTGGTTAATGTTGACTACAGACTTGCCCCAGAAAATAAGTTCCCTGCATGTTATAATGATGCAAAGGCTGTGATGCGTTGGGTGATGATGAACAAGTCTCTAGTTGGTAAGTTTTTTTAACACAAATTCAATTAAAATGTATGAACATGAAATTGGCAAAAAAAACCCCAAAATGTGGTTTTTTGATTTTAATGTGTTAAAAAGTAATGTTCTTTCCTTTTCAAATGATTGATAATAGAATAATAAAATTGTCATTTTAATTTTGTTATAAACCATTTTTAGTGGTGATGCTTTGTGTTTGCTTCTTTTGTGAAAAGTAATTTTTCAAAACACCACCTTTTTTTGGCTTTATAAAGCTTCCATATTTCCTGTAAGGAAATAAAATAAAATATCAACTAAGTATTTAATTTTAATAATTTATTTGTCAACCCATCTTGAATCATTTCAGCCTGCACAAAAATATTTTCTGATTGAGAACAGCTTTTATTTCAATTGAACTTTTATTACATAATTTTATAGTACATTTGCAAAATGTTAATTTTTTTTTTTTTCAATGGCAGAGTATGTTTAACATAAGTCTATGACTACAAGAGTGTGTGTGTATATATTTCCTTGTCTGATTAATTACAGTTTTTATAATCAATATAAAAATGACACTATTGCTTAGAAAATTTTGAAAAAAAATCAGAATTTGCATTGTATCTTCTTCTTCTTCTTTCACTAACCCAAGAAGTGATTGTGCCAGTCACATGCTGACCTGTCCACCATTCTCCTCCATTTTTCATAGTCATGTGCCAGAGCCTGGGTTTCTTTGTGTGCTCATCATGTGGCATGTCTTGGGCATTTTAACCTGGTGGAGTACATCCCTCTCTAGGTTAGACCATAGTCAATGTCCTATGAAAATGTGGCTGTTGTAGTTCATATCTGATGAACTCTTCCACCCTGGCCAGTAACCTGTGTCGAGCAGGTCAATATATTTTATGACTATTGAGAATTAATTTATTTAGAACAAAATTTTATTTCCAATGAATAGACTTATAATTTTCTCAATTTATCAAGAAGGTGACTTCTTGATGTTATCAACTTTTGGAAAGTGCAATATTTTATCAAGTGACTGGATTGCTCATTATTCAGATATATGCCAAGCTATATTTATAAAATTTCAATGCCAAACATAAAAAAAGTGGATTATTTGATGTTTATCTATATCAACTACTGATATAACCAGATTTCAAAGAAAAACTGGTAGCTTATCAACTAATTTCAAAGCAACTTTTAACCAAAACCTCTATTTTAGTTTTCTACTTTATTTAAAAAAGTAGGCAGCATTTAAGCATTATATCTGATTATTATTATGAATTTTTTCTTGTGTAATTTCACAATAAAAAATATATATATATATATATATATATATATATATATATATATATATATATATATGAAAAAAAATTTTTTCATATATATAAATATTTACTCATTTTTAATATCAATGCAACCATTGACTTTTCAAATATTTTTATTAATGTTTAACATTAAAATTTATTTACACACACACACACACATATTTGGACTTCTTTCTATCTATCCGGGTAACATACAGGAAATTCTGAACTGAACCCTTTATTTAGTCTATGGGGATAGACTGTTCTTGTTTCACTGCTCATGTCTAGGGATATCATCTATTTCTAATTTTAATTAGTACTGCTCAGTTATTGCTTGCCTGTTTCTACTGAGTGCAAGTATGCACAGTACCAACTTGGGATTGAACTAACAATCACTATTTACAAACCGATGCTTCAATCCATTAGGCAATTGTGCCATAGAACAATTTGCTGTAATGAACATGGAGCCTTAAACCTAAGCTGCCTGCTGCTTAGAGTTTCTACAGCTGCTGATCTCTATTCATCATGTTTTGACTCTAGCATATTTGCTGATTCATTCAAATGTCTGATGAATGCCAGCGGACACAATGGCCAAAACATTGTGATAACAACAAAGATGAGGACAATAGTCTGGATATAAATAATAAGTCCTCACCCCAGAAATTCAGACAGAAATTAAAATTTATCTTAAAATTATTATATGCATGTATGACTTTTAATATAATCAGTTTAGCACATCACTTTTATATTGGTTTATCAATCTTTAAATAAATTTGTTGTACAATTTGGAAATGTTTCATCAATTATTTGTATAAAAGAAAGTGTATCTAAAGACCTTAACTTAAAAATATTTCAAGTGAAACACTTCATCTAATTTGTAATATTGAACAAAATATTCTTTGGCATATGTATAATTTATTCAAAAAGTTCTTATTTGTTAAACTAGGTATAAAATAATTAAATATTGAATAGTTATGAAATGTACACAATGAAAGTAAAAATTTCACACCTTCACAAATAGGTTTGTTTGATGATACAATTCTATATATAAACAGTGAATTGATCTTAAATTGGTTTAATGTTTATCCAGGTGGAATACATCGTAGCATAGTTGGAGTTGCAGGCGACAGTTCAGGGGCCAATATAGCTGCAACAGTTTGTCATGAAGTTCCAGGAATTTCATTTCAGGTATGTTTTTAAGTAAACATTAACAATTATTATTTTTAATTTGTTTTTTTAGTTCTTATTAAATATGTTAGATTTTAATTCAATAGGTGCATAATTTAAAATTGCAGTTAAGTCTTGTAAATAAAAATTAAGTGTTAATTTTAGTTTTGCTGTATTTCTTTTTTAATTTATCATCTAGTATGAAATTTAAAAAATAAAACAATGATAAACTGGCAAAGCTTAACATTCAGACCTGCAAAAAAAAAGAGTTCTCAACCTCACACTCTACTGGTTTTAAATCCAGAGTTGTCTTTCAAGATTCCTGGCCAAATGGGGCTAGAGAAGCCAGTTTGCCCTACCATTTAACCTCATCAAATAATTACTATTATTATTATATTTTTTCTATATATTATATTCGATGAAATTATATTTGATGAATAATTGTAACAATATTGTTTTTTTGGGTTTTTTTTACGGCTTATCAACTTTTTGCAGGTTAAATAATGATAGTAAATATTTTTACATTGTAAGAATTTTTTGGAGATAACAATGATTTACTGAAACTAGTCCTACAGTTGCAGGGGGAGAGGTGGATTCCTACCATTCCCAAGGATATTTGTGTATAATTGGAACTTGGCTTTCCAGTTTTCAGTTCTGAGCTGTTATTCATTATACCATGTGCAAATACAATCTTACAACACCTGGTATTCCCAAGTGGTCAGCCATCTAGGTACTGACCAGGATCATTGTTGCTTAACTTAAGTGATCATACAAGCACTGGTGTTTCAATGTAATAATAGCTGTAAGTCCTTCTGTAACAATCATAGCTTTTGGCTCACTAAATATATTTTGAAAGTTTTCCATCATTTTTTTAGAAATAATCTTTGCCTAATGTATTATTAACTTTTGTATGTAGTATGTAATTTATTATTAATTTTTAATATTTGTCTTCCACAGATTCTTGCCTATCCTTTGGTAGATCTGACATGCAGTACTGAATCCTTTAAAACTTATGCAGATGGACCATTTTTGACCAAAGAAGCTACTGAAAAGTATGTCTTTAGCTCTACTAATAAATCTAGTCTCTTGCTTGTATTCTACACTAAATCATGACATTTTTTTGTTAACTGATCCCGGAAAGGCATATATTTGTTTGAAGTAGCAAAGTGGTTGTTGTCTACTGTAACTGAGTAGGACAATCTAGCAGGTAACTGTAATGGACTGGTCCTTGTCGTAGTGGTAGGCAATAGGCGTCAACTTATACCTCCACATCAGTCTGTATTTATGGCTGACACCAGCCAATCATATTACTGTGAGGGGGAATCCAAGTGTATGCATATTCATTAAATCATTAACCCATTGTATTATTAAGTATCATCTTTTTTACTCTATTTTACTCTGCAATGTATTGGCAGCCTTATCTCCCCTATTTACTAATGTAAAATATTTGATCTATTTAATTAATAATGTAATGTTGTTTTTGTAGCATCTCATGTTCACATATTGGTGTTGAATAATTTCTCCTATTATTCTAACAAAATATCTCATTATATTAAATAATTGAGATAAATATATAAAGCCACATTGTGTCTTTGATAGAAGAGGTTCTATTTCATCTTAGAGTGAAACTTATCTTCAGAAAAAAAATCTACATGAAACAATTGTTTTTTTTTTTTTTTTGTTTTTTTTGTGATCTTTATTTTTTCTAATCATTTACTTTTTATTGATTTCCCTTCTGGCAAGAGCGTACAACCATAAACATATTTTGATAATATTTATTTAGTTTGCTTTTATTTATTTAATATTTATGGTAAATAATTATGATAAACACCTTGTAGATATTTTGATTACACAACATCATCATTCTAAGTTAGAATTTTGATCTGGTGTTAAGACTATATGATAAAGTAAGGACATTAGTTGGTGTCTATAACATAGATGAAATATAGCATATACAATAAAGATAATTGAATAAATTAAAAACATTATGTCTGTTTAATTTTATCATAATCCTTTCATATTCACAAATATTTTTCTGTATATTACAATTGAATAAATCAAGAATTGTAATATATGAAATATACAAAAATTGTTGGTGATTTAAGTGGGTCCTTTGGAAATTCAATGGGTTTCAGCATTCAATGGTTTCTTAATAAATTGTTAAAATAGCAGTTTATTTTTATTTTTTTTAACATCGACTCAAAAACAATTTTAATCATGCCAAATAACTTAAATTAGCAGGACAACTTTGTTTTTGCTTTTTATTAAAGTCAAAATTCAGTACAGAAACAGCATTTATGCTTAATCACAATTCAATTAAAAAACTATATTTTTAGGAAATTATGACAGAACAAAGTTTGTTTGTTTTTTGGGTTTTTTTGGTAATTGACAGAACAAACGTTTTTTAATTGGTCCTGATCTGGCAACTTGGTTTCAGTCATTTACCCAGTGCCATAAGATTACCACTCTGTGCCTTTTCTGTAAATACTTTCTTGGTAATTGTTCGGATGAGCTATGGTACCGAAACTTCATGATTTTAAGTGCAGTAGTAGATTGGAATCAAGATCTCATCAATTGTTGGCTAGGTGTAGCTGTAAGTTCTATGCTAACAGTTTCTTTTCTCACACTTCTTGTTGTGGAACTCTTCCAGCTCCATGCTTTCCAGCCAACTTTAATCTGCAAAAATTTAAAAGCAATATCAATCTCTATCTACTGTCCTCCTGATTACTCTTTCCTTTTCCTGCTCATTATTAATGTTTCTGTTTCTAATTCCTCCACACCTTGTGTCTTAGTGGCTTTACTGCCTTGCATGGGGTGATACCAATCGAAAAAAAAAATTAAGTTAAAATAAAGAAAACAAATCAAAATGTTTAAGACAACATTGATATCTATTTCACGTCATTCACACACATTTCACTGTCTAATAAAAGAAGGAAAGAGTGAAAAAAATAAAAGGAAGAACTGATAAAAAGTATTTGAAAGAATATCATCAAATTAATAATGCAGTGTTTATTATGTAAAATTACCAAAAATATCTGCCTCTCTGGTCTGTACCAAACTATACAGGAAAATTTCTTTTGTTTGAAGACATTTTTTAGCCTTGTTAAATATTATTTGAACAATAAAGTGAATTCTAAATACAAATGTCTCCACTTAATTAAAATGTTTTACACTCTTAATTTGAAGAACTATGTTAACAAGAAAATGCAAAATGCTTAAAAAAGATAAAATATCTATGTACCAATTACCATCACTACCTAGTTCGTTTAACAAATGAATTTTCTGGTTACAGATATATTAGTAACATTTTAAATACTTAGTATCAATTAACAACAAATTCTTTTTACTATGGTAAAACTGTTATCAGTTAGTGTTGTGCATTGTTTCATGGGAAACTTAAGTTGCATTTATTATATATATATATATTTATATATATATATATTATATATTTATATTTATATATATATATATATATATATATATATATATATATTTTTATATATATATATATTATATATTTATATATATATATATATATTATATATTTTATATAATATATATATATATATATATTATATATTTATATTTTTATATATATATTATTATATATTTGGTTGGATAGATGTGAGTTTGTGACCCTGGGTTTCACGCTTTAGTGATCGTCAGACATCCAACCAAATATATTAGCTCTATCTCTGATATTGAAGCTTTTAATAAGTACTATGCATATAATATATAAATAATTGTACATACTTATATTTATATACACTTTTCACATATATATATATATATATATATATATATATATATATATATATATATATATATATATATATATATATATATATATATATATATATATATATATTATTATTATTATTATATATCAATGAATTACTTAATTATCTCAAATCCTCCTTTATTTCTATCATTTGTATATCCTTACTTGAACCAGCTTCTAATGCTCTGGATTGAGTGGCTTGGTGATGGTAGTCGTGTCTCTCAGAGGCACAGTCCTATGGGTAAAGGAACTTGGATGATGTCCACCACGGAATATGTGAATGAGCGGCGCAATATTGAGCCTAGTTTGCTACCTCTTCATCACCAAGGCTCGTTAGTACAGTTGGTATGACGTTTGCCTGTCAATGTAGCTGTCCGGGTTTCAATTCTCGGTAGTGGCTGCACACTACTGATGAGTCCCAAATATAGGACGAAACAGCCGTCCAGTGCTTTCTGCATTCTGTTGAGGTGTCTCGATGAATTACTTAATTATCTCAAATCCTCCTTAATAAATATACATGTACCTACGTTCAAACAGATGGGAAAGTTACTGTGTCCTTTAAGATTTTTATGTGTCAGTAATAACTGACAGTCTACAATTTTTTTTATCATTTCACTTTATGCAAGGTGATAAAGCTGCAAAGGGTTACTAGAAATGAAAGAATCAAATGAAAAATCATTATTAAGGAGAGAGACGACAATGAAATAATAGGATTCAAGGAGTCAAGATGACAACAATTGAAATTGCATTTAAATTTTTGAAAATCAAAATTTACTGGAAAGCAAGAAGCTGAAAGGGAGTTTCATGAGTGAAAAGTACAGAGAGAAGAAATTTTTGGTTATATCTAGTAATTTCAGCTGTAAAATGATGAGACCTAGCTGCCATTCAAGTACTGTGCTTAAATTCGTAAAATCGAGGTATTAAAGAAGATAGCTCATCAGAACAATTACCATAAATATATTTATAGAAAAGCCATAGAGAAGCTATATTACTGTGATGAGAAAATGACTGAAGCCGAGATGCTAAGTCAAGACCAATAACATTGCAGATTCTTCTCTGAAGAAAAATTGTCTAAAATTTTCTAGAATGATACAGTGAACCAACTTTCTGAGTAGCAATCTTTTGTTTATATACAGGGTGATTGAAAAGTAACTCCCTATTTTGTGTATGAGTGGCCAACCAGAAGTTCTGGCTTAACATTCTGTGACCTTTTTTTGAGGTGTTGGTTAAACGAGCAAGTCTACTATATGAAATCAAGACTTTGGAAGAACTTGAAGGGCGAATACAAGAAGTTATGTCTTCCATATCACAAGAGTTCCTGGTGAAATCAGTTGATGCAATTCTTGGACAGTTTGAGAAACTGGTAGCAAAATCTGGTGCTCATATTGAATTTTATATAAAACCTCATGCTAAATGCTTTCCTAACATAAATTTCTTGTAAAAATTATAGTTAATAAATAAATTATAAGTATTTTAAAATGGGGAGTTACTTTTGAATCATTGTATAAGTATGTATATATATGTATGTAGATATATATATATATATATATATATATATATATATATATATATATATATATAACCCTTTATGAAGTCGTCAAAAAAACAAATGTTACGACAGTTTTTTATATGCACAAATCCCTTTCATAAAAAAATAAATAAATCTCCATAGACATGCAAACTAGACGAGGGTTAATACATCTTCCGTTTAAAATTTAGACACCCCTACCTTTCTCTGACTTGACATCTATGAAAGTAACTCTATACTGATACTTATTATTAACACCCAACACTCGCCTACCCAATTTAAACAATTCGCCCTAGCTGTTTCCATGGAAATTTTGATTTCAATTTTTAAAACACGTAAATTTCAGATATACGTTATTCCAAAAAAATTTCGCTTGAAGATGGAACAGAGCTTACTTTATCTCAATTTAATTTAAATAATTATATTGAAGTTTTCGGCTCTTGTTTTAAACATGAGACTTTTTATGTCATGTTTTGGAATCATATTTTTAAATAAATAATTATATGTATATATATATATACCTACCTATATTCGAAGTGCAACTTAAGTTACATTATTCTACCAACTCATGAGTGAAAATTTATCTTACCTAATGTATTCCAACCCCTGAGGGACTTTACCAAGGCAAATGTGAAGATTTTATTTTGCAAAAAATGTTATACATAAAGTTATCTTATACTAAAATAATTTTAATATTAATTGCATAAAAAATTCAACATCAACATCATCTTCACATTTGCCTTGATAAAATCCATCAGAGGAAAAAAAGCATTTCCTTTTGTCTTTATTCATATTGTCCTTTTACAGACATATTCTTAGTTATATCTGAAATTTTTTACACACACGCACAAACGTTTCCCAAAAAAACTTTTCTCAGCAATGCAATGCATTTTAAAAATTTATATTACCTAATAAATATTGAGCCTTATTTTTATTCCATGTATATATTTTCTATTTTGTAGATTTATTGAACAATTTCTTAATAATGAAAATGAATGTTACAATCCCCGTGCTTCTCCTTTATTTCAAAAATCATTTGATGGAATTCCACCTGCTTTATTCATTGTTGCTGAATTTGATCCTGTTCGAGATGATTGCCATGGTAAGCAAATCATCTTCCCTATTATCTACTACACAGAAATTGAAATTATCATCTTATGTCCAAACTATATATATATATATATATATTATTCTTGTATTTTCCATGTTCTTGTGAATCATTATCTGTTTTCAATTCTAGTTAGAATTTTTTTAAATTTCTCATTCCAGAATATGGTAAGAGGATTCGAGAGAATGGAATTAAATCAAAGTCCCTCCTTGTTCGTGGAACTATTCATGGATTTTTCACTTTACCTGGTAAAAAGAATTAAAATTTTTGTTAATATCTTCATTTTTGCTGTTTACTTCTTTAAAAGAACATTCATACTTTTTTTTAAGTCATTTTTCTACAACTTCTCTATCTCTTTATTTACTCTCTAAAGATTGAGGTGACTTCTTCATTTTGTGTATAATACAATGATCCTTTCTCTTGAGATTAAAATTTGGTGATCTTGCCATTTTAAATCCTCTCTCAAACTTATGGTAAGCCTTGTATTGTAGAATTTTGGTGCAGTTCCTTGGTTATTTTGCTGTGGGTTTTAAACATCTCATTTAGTTCCAATGTAACCTATTTAAGTATTAAGAAAAGTAGAAACATTAAGAAGCAAGATGTTTATCTTAACAAAGAATATATTTCAGTGGAGATACTATGAAAACTACAAAACACTATTAAAATACATATGAGAACAGAAGATCAATTGTGGAAAAGGGTTTTCATTAATATTGGGTATGGGAATAAATAACTGTAAAAAACACATTTTGTTCCAAACAGGAAGTAATAATGCCTTTGTTCATGGAATCAGTCTTATACATAAAATGGGAAGGGGGGAAAATGCAACAAATGCATGTGTTTTTATATATATATATATATAAGTTAACATTTAAGACAACACTCAGAGGTGACACACTGTTTCATGCTAAATGCAGTCATCAGGCCATCTGATATATATATATATATATACACACACACACACACACACACACACACACACACACCCAAGTATAGGATTGGTGTATACAGAATAAATTCCAATAACCAACAAATACTATTCTTAAAAGAGTGCTCAATACAGAGTAGAACAAATATAATTATTTATTCGAAAATTATAACATAAATATGTTATAAAATCACTTTGTTTCAACACTTCTGGTGTCTTATCAAGTGATGGTGTTGACATTCAACACCATAAGTTCTGCACAAAACCTTCACCACTATAATCAAATGATTTATGCAGGTAGTCTGGCTGTCAGTTTCTAGGAACTGAGTTGCTTGACCCCCATATGTTGAAATTGACAGGAGAGTTCAGTACACACACACACACACACACACACATACAATGTGTGTGTGTGTGTGTAAGACCTAAATGTAAGGAAGAGATTATTGTTGTTCCAACAAGAGGAAAGTGTATATTTGAAAGAGAAAAGGTTGCAAAAGTTTTTGTTTAGTGTGTGGATTTTCTCATACTTCATTTTGTATATTTTGCTACACGACTTTCAGATCTTGTTACCTTACTCAGGCGAAGAATGGTTAGTTAAACATATTATTTAAAGGAATGAATATTTCCTTCCTATCATAGGAAAATGTGGAACATGTATAACAAAATATACAAAATAAAGTATGAAAAAATTCACATAATAAATAAAAATGTTTGCATCTTTTTCTCTCTTTCAAATATATTACCTAAATATACACTCTGTGTGTGTGTGTTTAAAAACTCAGATATAATTAAAAATATATCTGTAAAAAGATAATATGAATAAAGACAAAGGAAAAGCAATGTTTTGTCTTTATGGGCTATATCAAGGCAAATGTAAGGATTTTATTTTACAACAAATATTTATAAATAGAAGTAAAAATGTTAGTTTTGCAGAATTTTCAAATTTAATAATGCTCATGAAATTTACATCAGACTAACTGAAAGTTAAGATTAAGAAGGATGCTAAATGATATTTAATGTCTAATAAATGAGAATAAATGTTATTGCTGAATTTTTTTATAATGTTAAATAACTGAAAGTACAATTTATTAATCATGTAATGCTAAATAAGTTGACATTTTAAACAGTCTATGTATGGTCTTGTTTGCTAGCTATTAATTTTATACTTGTTTGTTTATTTTCAATCATATTTACATTTCAATGATTCATCATAAAGTTATTTATAGCTGCTTTTTCTTTTATTTTGAAGATATTTTCAGATCCATCTTTTACTTTAAAATAAAATTAGTGATTAAAAGAACTTGTTCAATATAAAAAAAATTATTTATTTGTGTGCAAAAACTCAGAGATAACTAAAAATTTATCTGTAAAAAGATGATATGAATAATGACAAAAGGAAAACTTTTCCTCTGATGGGCTTTATCAAGGATTTTATTTTGCAACAAATATTTATAAATAGAAGTAAAAATATTAGTTTTGCAGAATTTTTAAATTTAATAATGCTCATAAATATACTAATATATGTAAACTATAGAGGATGCTAAGTGATTTAATTTAATGTCTAATAAACAAAAGTGAGTAAATCTTATTTTTGTTATTGAATTTTTTTTTTTAATTCTAAAAAAACTTTCTTACTCCTGTGTATAAATACTTGTAAAATAAAACCCTTACATTTGGCTTGATAAAGCCCATCAGAGGATGAAGCATGCTACGATAAATTTTCTTTTTTTTCCTTATTCATATGTGTGTATTTACTTGTGTATGTATAGTGTGTATTTACTTGTGTATGTATAGTGTGTATTTACTTGTGTATGTATAGTGTGTATTTACTTGTGTATGTATAGTGTGTATTTACTTGTGTATGTATAGTGTGTATTTACTTGTGTATGTATAGTGTGTATTTACTTGTGTATGTATAGTGTGTATTTACTTGTGTATGTATAGTGTGTATTTATTATATACAACATTTCACATTATAAAGTTAACATAATTAAATATTTAATACTCAAAAATATATAAGTAAATATAAATGTAAATATTCAATCACGTTAACTAATATTTGAATATATATATATTATCTTTTTCAGGACACTTCCAAAAATCATGCCAGCAAGCATATGAAGAAGTGATTTATTTCATCAAAGCTCAATTATAAAACCATTTAAATTTCAATTTTTATTTGCATAAAATGTTTTTATATATAAAATCATAACAACCAAATTTGTATGTATCGACTTATGTATTGCTTTTGTATGAGATTCATTTACTTGCAATGCTTTAATGAAATTGGATAAAACAATTTATAAGTTAGTTCTTGCAAATCCAAATTGGAATTTTTTCTCTATACATTTCATATTTCTTGTCAACCCATTTTTAAAGACATAAATATAAATTTGCATAACAGAATTATGAATGGCTCATTTTACCCAAATTAATCATTTGTGAATATAAGTTTTGATTTTGTTTTGTTCAAACATACCTAATTCGTTCAATAAAATTCATTTATAAATTATCTTTGTGTCTGTTCATATATTATCACAATATTATAATCTACATTAAAATGTACAATAACTAACACATGTGATTGTCTTCTTTTTTTAAGAGATCAGCCTCTTGTTGATTGAAAAGGAAAAAGCAGCAATTAGTTTTTTTACATTTTATGTAGGCAGTGGACACAACTGTCTCTAAATTTATCTTTGTTCATTAACTAGATTTATCTGAATGCATAAAAATGTAATTTATTTCATAAAAAGTGGGGAAAAGTATTTGATATTTAGATAGCTATCAAATTATTAACCGTAACTCAGAGGACAACTGTACATATAAAATATGGAATTGCCTGTATTATATGTGTTATTTTGATTGGGTTGGTCTCATTAACCTACTTGTTACCAATTCATTTCTATTAGTGATCCATCTGTTATTTTTAAGTTTTTTTATTTTTTATTTGTGATATATCTGAATGTTATATGAATCTTCCTATATATTCAAGTATTCTGTATTTCAGTTTTAGTAACAAGATGATTAATGAATTTTCTTTTTGTATACCTAATAATATATTTATAGTATTCATGTGTGCTTGCATTAAATAAAAGCAAATTAATAAAATAAAAAATTCTGAAACTTATGCTGAATGAATAAAAAATTTATTTTTGGCATTACTGCCACTGATATATATTGACGAAATCAAACTTTTTTTGCTGCTCAAACAAAAATTTGTTTTTATCTCGGATTGAGTAATTGGATGAGCTGAGTTTAAATTTCAGTCAAATCCATTACATTTACTTATGTGCAATACCCTTGGGAAAAGTATGAATCCTCTTCTTCTCCCCCCAGCTATGGGTAAATAGCAGGACAGACTGGGTTCTATAGCCTTGGATGGCAACTGGTCTACAGAAAGAAATGGCAACCTACTGCGGGGAAAAAAATCTGCCTCGTCAGTCATGTATTGATAGATACATGATCGCCTAATCATGTATCACACATGGCACATAACTGACTGGCTGATTTATACAAGTCTAAGTCAGCTTTTTGTTATGACAAATGACTCCAATCATTGGCCATTGTAAGTAGATGAAGGGGAGATTTTAAAGTTTATTTTAAAAAAATGTACCATTTGACTTTTGGAAAACAAAATTCCAGCCAAAATGGACAAAATCACAGATTCATAAATCTTATATAAAAATGGAACAAAACTTAACATTGAAATTCAAGGAATTTTTAATTCAAATTTTAATGCTAAATTGAAACATTAATAATGTAACACTTAAGTTTGATCTTGGCTCACAGCAAATGGCAACAATTGTAACCTTTCATCATGGTCAGCCCGGGGAGGATCCTGGTTTGATCAATGGAGTGATCTCTTTGATCCTGACCTGCCTTACCCCATGTTGTGATTGATTTGATTATAAGGAGGCCAAGATTGATTTGTTGCAGGTATCTTCATGTTGGGCTGGTTCAAGTCAAGTGAAGTACAATAAAATTGGAGAAAAAAAACAACACTCAAAATATATATAAAAAATAAATACTATTTTTATATTGAATACTGTGTACAAGGTTTCGTTAGTAGTTGTGTTTGCATACAGATGTTTGTCAATCCAACCTGTTCCTAAATCGGACACAAAACTTGAGTAATCTGGTAAGTTTTGGTTTGATGAGTTAGCAAAATTTATTTTACTGATTTGATAAGTTTGGCTCCACTGAAGTTGGAGGTTCTTGTGGAGTCTCTCACTGACCTCTGTCACTTCCCTTCTCAGCACTCAACTGCAACTATGTCTGAATGGCTTTTGTGCATTCATTTTTATGGACAACAACTAAAAACTGGTGTGAGGCAAGATGTAGTCTGGGTTTTGGTGAATCTCCTGATTTCCAACAAAAGTCTATTGTTTTTAGTTCTGAGAAGTTAAATTAATTCATAATTTTGGGGAATTCTCCTCTCATGAGAGATGGTTGCAGGCATTGTTCTGCCTAGCTGCTTCTACTCTCTCTTATTACCATCCCTTATCATCCCTTCCAATGGGCATGAGCAGCTCCTTCAACATCTCTTCTATGCCTGCTCTCCTTCATTCAGTCAGAGATTAATTAAAAAAAAAAAATGGTTTCAAATACTATTATCTCATAAATGAATTGACACCACAATTGGCTTTCTAGCCTTTGACCCAGGAGACACTTTCCCAAGGAAGTTTTTGCAACTCCCATTATGGTGACAATTCGTTCAGCCAAAGGTCACCATTCTGCAGGTGTTCCAATTTATTGATTTTTCATTCTGACATCCTGCAAAATGAATTCATTTAGTTTTAAGCCAATTCTTCTCATGTCAGATCCAGGCATTGTTTGTTGAAGGCTGTCAACACTTGACTTGTTCACATAAATTGGGCATTGCTTTTAGACGGTTATCTGGTCTATTGTATATCCGTCTATCTTTCTTTATGTTTTTTAAGCCTTTTCATGCTAAGTTATTCATCATTATCTCTTTTTATTGATATTCCAAGTCATTATTATTATTATTATTATTATTAATTACCAGCAACCCAAATAGTGTTATAATAATATTAATATCCAATAAATACATTTATATCATATACATTGATTGTTCTTGTAAATATAAATTATATCAGATAACTTATATGTAAATGTGACTGTGAGACGGTTCCTAATTTGTTTATAATTCTGTAGAAATATAATTTACTGCAAAATAATATTATCTGAAGTAAAGCAGAAATTAAAATTTTGAATTTAATGAAAAATAGAAAATTAATAATTCAGTTGGTAAATATAAATTAAAAGAACAATTAATATAACACAAATGTATTTAACTTACATTTTTTAAATTTATATTTGATATATTCTTAATTTTTATTAGATATTTGAAATTACTATGTTGTAAAGAAAATTGATAAGATAATTTGTTATCTGGTAATTCTATTTGAATAAAATTTGTTATAAAAATTGGATATCAAACATAATTCAAGTAACTACTGACACTGATTCTTTTTTTACATATAGTACATTAAAAATAAAAAAAAATGTTCACAATATCATCATCATTGTTGTCATCATCATAATCACCATCAAGATTGAGCGTGAATGTAGGATTACTGGTAACAGGACGAAATCCCAATGGACAAAAACCCAGCCTTTTATCCTAAAAGCGGACAAAATTCACAGTTTGCTAAATAAAAGTCTCATATATAAAAAAGAAACAATTTTAACATTAAAAATTCAAGGAACTTTTAATTTAACTTTTAATGTCAAATTGAGGCATTGATAATAATAATAATATCCAATATATCAGTTAAGGGCCATATGTGATACACATTTGGGAGATCATGTATCTTTCAATACATGACTAACAAATCAGTTTTTTCCCCACAGTAGATAGCCATTTCTTTCTGTGGTAGACTGGTTGCCAACCAAGGCTAAAGAATTCAGTCTGTCCTGCTATTCAGCCCATAGCTGGAGGAGAAGAGATGGTTTCATAGCTTTCCCAAGGGTATTTGTGCATAAGTAAATCCAACAAATTTGACTGGATTTTAAACTCGTCTTTCCAAGTTCACACTCCCAGCCAACATCCATTATGCCAAAACACATATATTGGACTGATGAGGCAGTCCAATATATACGAACCCCATAAAAACTTGATTTAAGTCCTTAATTCATTTGTATAATATCTACATTGCTTATTTACATTTTATTGCAAACTTAAGAAAAGACTTATTTTTTATGGCTTTCTTCAAATGAAGTAGTCAGGTTTTATTGGATACTAGGACTCCCTAACTGTGAAATATTTTACCCTTTAAGTGATTTCTAATTCCCCATTTTTTTTTATTAAAATTCCCAGTCCATTGCATATCAAAAACAGATGTGAACCTCCCACCCCAATTATTAAGACCATTTATATTAGGCACATAAGATTAAATATAGAATCTACACATTGTTGTCACTAATAATTTGTTGTAACCTAAAAAGGGTTACTGAAAGAGGAATAATGACTGAAAATGGAGGTTGGAAATGAAATGGTAATCTTTATAACATCAACAAAGTACAATACTTACCAGTGGCATGAAGTAGGTAAACCACTACTAGTGGTAGACGACTTACACCCCGCCACTTACAATAGTATTTATGAGGATTGGGACATACCCATTAGTGTTCATAGGTATGGTATATAACATATTGAATATGTTTATTTGGTAACAAGACGAAACCCCAGCCTCTTATCAAATTGTCACAAATGTGGACAAAATCCCAATCTCATAAATCTTGCAGAAAAAAAATAAATTTAACATTGAAAATTCAAGGAACTTTTAATTCAAATTTTAATGTCAAATTGAAGAAGAAGAAACAACAACAATAATAATGATAATAATAATAATAAGAAGAAGAATATATACACTTATATGTACAATATCCTATATATACAACAGATAGCTGCCATAATGGCCATGTCATTTATTTTCTTAACTCCAATTTAGACATTTTGTTTAGGTATAGGATTCACTTATTAATTTTATATATCTCTTTGTTTTGCCATGACAGAAGTTACAGACAGAAGCAGAATAATACAGAAAAAATAGTCACACTGTTCATTATTATATATAATTTAAAGGTATATTTTTAAGATAGCGAATGCCTTGAAAAAATAAATAATTATGT